AACCCTGTGATATACTCAGAACTGATATTCTTATCATAGCTTTTTTTCTAATGAGAACATTACAACTCAAAATGTTCTAATAACTTATCTCAGAATATACAGCTAATTTTCATCATGAAGTTCCTCATGGTTCCCTCCACCTTCAGCATTTTTTGAGAAAAGACTCTATTGAACATCTATTCATCGAAAGAGCAGGAAAGCTGAAACTCAGTCCACACTCCGAGTCCCACCCCTGTCTGCTGAGTGAAAGTGAGAGGTTGGTTTTATAATCTTAACATTTTCTATGTATCTTTGATTGTAGTATTAAATTTTAAAAAATAATGACGCTGAGGGAGGTGGGGGGCCAGCCCCCACCCGTTGATACTCTCTATTGCTACTACTCAGATTCATTAATACTACTTCTGGGTTCAGTAATGCACAATTGTACGGTTGAGATATATAAGCATTATATTAAAGTCATCAAGAGCATGAGAGATATTACAATAATACAGTCAGACACATTACATGATACCATCGCTCACCTCAGCCCAGCTTGGTGGTCCACGTGGAGATGGGGGGAAGGGAAGGAGAGTAAGGGAACAAGAGAGAGGGGAGTAACCAGGGAGTGAACAGCCAGGAGCTCAGAGTCAGAGAGAGATCTATCTTGCTGGCTCACACCTATATACCTTTTGGGGGCAAGCCAGCCCACTAATTACAGGTAGAGACATACGTCACAGGAAGGGGCTGCACTATAGGTTACACAGCAATAAGAGGGTGGTTTAGGGGGTGGTCTCTGGGTCTCCATAGGAACATTATCAGTAGGGTGCAAACTCTGCCTATAGGAGCCTGTCCATTGTCCCCAGAGGCAGGGAGCAGGCCCACCCCTGTGGTGGGATGAGACAGCAGTCTGGCAGCAAGTATCTGACTTCCCCCCACATTTGATTTGGCCACCAACAGAGCGGATGTAGTCATCATTACCTCAATTCTCTCATTCTATGGTCCAGGGTATGTTTTTCACATCCAGTCCTTGCTTCCCCCTGTAGTAGATGATCTCTTCTACAGTCTGTGAGTGCCTCGTGATAGGAGATCAGAATTTACAGTCATCTAAGAGAAGACTGTGACTGTGAGCTGTACTTAAAGGCACATCAGGCTTCAGCTAGCAAATTCCAATATCAGGAGCTATGAGAAACTGCAGACTTCTTAGAAACTCTTTAAATAACGCATAGTAGACTAGTCTCTAAATATAGCAGTACTTTAACTGGGAATTTATAGCACAGTGACCTCTTTCTGTCTTTTATTTTCATTTTCCTTGAAAAAATACTTAAACTTGACATACAGCCACATAAAGTGACTGTAGATAATCTCTTTGAGATATAGTCAATTAATACGGCCTTTCTTGCCATAATTCCTTATGTGGTGTATTATAATTCTGGGCTCCTCTGTCTTTAGCTATAACCCTATTTTGATGGGAGTCTCTGCTATACTAATGGACAGAATTAAGATGGGGTTAAATCCTGACCTTAGTAGAAGGTGTGAGCCAAGTCTCGTCCTTCGTTTCCTTGGGAGTACCTGTAGACTCTGCTAGAGGGTGTAACCATGGAAGAGCATATTCCATATCACTGACTTAAATGAAGGAGGCCAAGATCAGCTGCACCAGGGCATGAAGACGATGGGACAGAGCAAGAGGAGCAGTGCTGAGTTGATGGAACTGTGAAGCAGAACAATAGGCAGGATTCCTAGGCTACAGAGGAGAGGGCAAGGGATCACGTGGCTGAGAGGCGAAAGACCAGAGAAATAATACATGGATGTAGGCTAAGGAGAGGTATTGCTGTGGATGAATGACTGTATCTTTACTGTTTACTGATCCTCACTTGTAGTACCTTATTAGCTTCCCTAATCAACTCTCATAATTGTAAGTATTGCCTGTGAGTTCTGTGTTACCATTACAAATGATTATTGAACCCAGCATGACAGTAGAAAGCTGTGAGAGGAATGATTGGTCTCAGAATAGATAAAGAAGGAAGGAGAGTGAAGGCATGTTTGAACCCTGCCCCATGGCATTTGGGAAGCCAGAGAAGGTCAGAAATGGCCCCCATGGCATTTACTGCACCCTTCAACTAAGGTAAGTCCTTGTTCTCATTGAAGATCTTTATCTAATTCCTCCATGCCTGCTCCTCTCCTAGTACAAAAACTGAGGTGGAGGCAAGCCCAACCAACTGCATTTCCTAGGATTACAGGATACTAGCAAGTTACCTAAATACATACAACCAACAGACTCCTTCTCAACTCAGCTGCCAAAATGCTCCGGAAACTCAGCTCACTTCCCACTCTTCCTTCTTAAGCTGGGCCCAGGGTCAAACACCAAATTGAAGGAAGTAAAGCTCAACTATTCCCATATATCCACACATGTGGAGATGATTATGCAATTCTCTTTATTATAATTGAACTATTGAATTGAACGATATGTGAAGTATATGCCAATAAAACTTTTAAAAAATAAATACATGAGAGGTGGAAATAAACCTACTTAATATTGATTGGGGATTCAGAAACCTGAATTATTTTCCCAGCATTGATATTTACTTATATAACCTTGTAAAAGTAGGCATTAATTTTAACAGCTGTTCTAAATCTATTATACCAAACACAGTAGTCACCTGAAATGTGGTTAGTGAGATTAAAAGATACAATTTTACAAATTAATTTACATTTAAATTTAAATAGCCACATGTGGCCAGTAACTACCCTATTGGAGAGTACAAACATTTTGTAGGAGTATTGGCTTAAATGACCTGCATCATCTCTCCAAAATATTCCATGTGGTTCTATTCTTTAGAATTCATTTAAACTCACCCAACTTTCTCAGTGTGCACCTTCATCACCAGAAGTTAAAAACCAGTGTTGCTTCAAACCCACAGAGTAGGCTATGGGACAGGAAGAAGATAAAAAGTGGTAAGCACCATATTGTCATAATTAGGCTGATTTTTGTCGGTGATTCTGAATTCTCACAAGCTGGAACAAAAGGTCAAATCAAGACTATGTCGGCCTGTGTGATGAGTATACGGGTGTGTATATAAATGCCTTGAGTCCCCTTTCTAATATGTGATTAGTATTGATTGTGAAAATATGATTCCGCTTGAGGCAAAAAGAATATAGAGAGTGTTTTTTTTCTGTCCTTTGTATCCTTCTCTGTAATACGAGAAGGTTGGAATAGATTTATTTATTCAACAGTCCAAGTTCAATTAAGCTAAAATCAGGAGACACAATAATGAACTGGACATGCCCTACCCTTAAGAATGCAATCAAATAAAAACTCTAAATAAGATAACATTTTAAGCCCCCACCCGACAATATGACTCTATATAAACTATAAATCCTGTGGTTTGTTAATATAACTGGAATTTTATATAACTGGAAATATTTAACTTTTTACTCAAGTCATGTTTCATTAAGGCAGACTTCCCATACAATTGCATGTTATACACCATCACCCCACCCCCATCCCCATATATTCCCTACTTGGTTCTGTCCACCTCAGTGAGAAAGTAATAACTATAAGAGTCTAGGGCAATGAAAAAGAGTGGAAATATGGCAGCAAAGAGGTCCTTTCCTGTAAAAACTGAAAATGCGAGAATGGTATTGTGATGGTTAATGCTATGCATCAATTTTAATAGGTCATGGTTCTCAATGGTTTTCCAGATAGTATGTAATCATTCCATTGTGTCATTTTATGTGAGCAGCCAATCTGCTGAAAAGGGTGTTTCCTTGGGTGTGTATCCTGCATCCAGTATATATGGATGTTCTCTTAAAGCATGCCTTCTCTCAATCCTGTATCTGACACTTCATACTCCAGCCTCCATTTTGGGGGACATGAAGCTACAGTCTGCCCTCTGACCTGCAAATTTGGAGATTTACCAGCTCTCACGTCCCTATGGGTCAATAGGCTACCATTTTACATGTGGGTTTTAGATTCATCAGCCTTTGAAACCTCATGAGCCAAAACCACTCTACAGCCTGACTCCTGCCCCAGAGATTTGAAACTTGCCAGCACCCACAACTGTATGACCCATTTACTTGAAACAAATATCTTTGTATGTATGCTTCACTAGTTTTGTGCTTAGAAGGACCTCTATGATATTTGATACTAGTGATTCTAGAGTAACAAAATCATAAGGGTGAGCTTTCTGAATTTGGCTTAGACTGAATTGATTACTCTTAAAAGTGTTGGAAGCAGCAGTCAAGAAATTTAATTAGGTATTGCATTGGGCAAATCCGTTGCACAAGACCTCTGTTTTTAACATTTCTATTGGCAATTCATCCACATATCACACAATTCAATCACATTAAGAAGAGTTGTACAATCATTACCACAATCAATTTTAAAACATCTTCTCCCCCCTCCCATGGTTAAATTGCTTTTAACATCAGTTGTATAATCATCATCAGTTATAGCGCTCCCTCTAGAGCTCTTATCAGATTCTCAGATTTCTGAGACAGGACCACTAAAAGCAAACCCAGTCTCCCCAGTCCATCTTCAGTGAGACAGACAGAAACAGAAAAACCCTTTGAACCTATTGAAAGCAATTGGTTATTCAGGAGATTTCAAGAAACCAAGTTTAAACTAAAACAATTATTTTCCAGAACACAATACATCAGGAAATAAGTGGCTTTTCAGAATGTGGTTAGATCCTCAAGTGTCATAAAAGAAAGGAAAAAAGAGAAAGAGAGAGAGGAACTTTAGCTTGCCTAAGATCAAGTTTCACATGCCTATTATATTAGCATAGGATTATCTTTCTCCGCCTACAAATAGTTTTAAACATCCGCCAGTCAAAAAAATGAGAACGAAGCTGAGCAAAGTGCACTCCTCCCTGTGTCCCATCGCAGAGCAGCTGTGTGATTTCCTGAGGAGTCTGTTGCTGAAACCAGGGATAAAAGCTCATTTATGCGTATACACAAGAACCTGCAAGTCTCCGGTTGCTCTTGTTCCTCCCTCCCCGCCCCACCCCTACTTTGCACCAGAGAAGCCAAACTTGGGTGTTCTTTGAGTTTGCGGACTAATCTGAAAGAGGAAGAAGAATCTTTATATAGTGGCTAGCAAATTTGCCCTGCCCTCCCCATCTTGAAAATAACACCAGCCTCTTTTTAAAAAACACTTTCCTAAAGAGCAAGCACCCGGTGAATGGAGCGTACTTTCAGGATTCTTCAAGTTATCAAAATTCTCGTGCAGCTCACCAACAAGTGTTAGCTCTCCAAGGGACTGGTAAACTGGATTTACTGAAGACTTGAAACTTGCTTCTGAACGTGAGCACAAAAGGATCCCAAACTATCAACCTTGAAGGTAGCAGGTAAGATGAATTAGGGTTCAATAGTAGAACCACAACGGCATATAGTAAAATTCTGTAGATGGTGAATTTTAGCAAATTCCAGGGAAAATTGTGATAACTAATCTTGCCTTGTCTGTTTAAATTAGGCTGCTACTATGATTTTTTATTGCTTAGCCAGAAATTTGATCATCTAATCAGTCTATCAGCAAGTAATGTTCAATGCTTCTAGTAGGGGTTCACTGTAACAAAAAAGAGAGATTATAGTCCCCAACTCCCAGCACCCTTGCAATTAAGCTAGGAGTGTGGAAGCACAGTTTACAATCCTGTTTTTAAGAGTTCATTGGAGTTTCTTTAATCTGTAATGGCAATTCTGATCAGTATGGAAAGAAAATACATAGGGATTCCTGAAGATAAACCAGTGAAGAATAATGTGACATTTTCATAAGGTATTTTCATATTCATTGTCTTGCTTGAACACTCAACACTAATATAGGTAGAGTGGGTGTTTTACACAAGAGAAAGACTCAGGAAGGTTAAGTAATTTTCTGGAAACACTGCAGAGCTAGAAATTGGCAAGTTCTGACTAGAGGCTGCAAAGAGAAAGCTCTTTTCATTATAAATGGATATAAAGACATTGCATGATCTATTTAGTAAATCAGAAATTAATCATAGTAGGCATAAACTAGCTTTATGCAGAGTTCACGGTTCATAAATTTCTATTGAAGCCTCTGACCAGGAGCAGTCTTCTCATTGGCAAGGAGTTGACTTCAGGGATAGACAAATGGTTTGGTGGGGTACCAATCTAGCTAAAAAAGCATGGACTCGGCGGTTCCTTTTCTAGTGCTTTGATTATTTGGAATCTAAAGAGAAGTCATGACTCCATAAATCAAGAGACGATTATTTAAAATAATATATGACTAAACCTGGACTCAGTACATTGTGGATTGTATTTAAAATCTATTTGTGAAATCCATATCTAGAAATTTTGTTTTTTTATATCTATTGCAAGAAGTTATAATCATTCTAAAATATGTTTAAAGTATTCTAAAACATTAATAGTAAAACAATACTGGTAATGGGTCATGTAGAACTAAAAGATGTCTGTGTTTACATAGTTAATAAACAACCTCAAATACATATTTACAACCATCCCCTTAATCAAAAAAGCTATTTCATAGCCTCCCATAATATTTACATGACTACACCAGTCAATCAGTACCTGCCAATAAAATAAGTCCGTTTGGGACCCATGGAGAGCACCCAGCATGTGAATCAACAAGGTTTGCCAATTGAGTTAAGTTAAATCTTCACATTTCAATGTCTTCCTATCCTAGAATCATCAATTCTCATTTTTCATTACCTTCTTCCTCTACCATTAATCACGGTTTTGATGAGTTTATTAAAGTAATATTCTTCCATGGTGTAGAAAAATATAAATTTACTTTTGAAATATGTTAAAGGGAAGACACAGATGCTTCAAGTACATACCTAACATAGTGGATTGGACTCTATTAGTGGTAACGAACACAATTTCCCAAATAACATAGTTCTACACAATCTCTACTTGAATCCAGTACGACAGTTCTTATGTTCCTATTAAAATCTCAAATGTCTTATAATCCAGTTAAATAAGTGTTAGTCAAACTCAGTACAGTGTGTGGCACAAGGTAAAGTAAGTCACAGTTCCTGATCTTGTTTGCAATGTTGTGGGGAGCACAAAACTCCAGAACATATAAATAGAAGAAAGTAAATCATAGTCTTGAGGATTTTTAATAGAAAAGAGCTTTTGAGAATAAAGATAACAATGAGCTTGACTGAATGGAAAAAGCTTCACGAAGGAGATAAAATGAGATAGACCTAAAAGAATAATGGGATTTGGAGCCATGCTGAGCAAATCTGTTGTACACATAAGTGGTCAACATACGTTGTTTGAATTCAATTCTATTTAGAAATATATCATGTTAGAAGTGAATTTGGCACCTATAAAATACTCTGAGAAGCCTAAACTTACTGGGGCAAAGAAGATGAATTGAGAGGGCTGGGAACAGAAGATAAACTTGAATTTAAAAATTAAGGCTAGGCAATCATGCAGAGATAGGCCCTCAGAGTAAATAAATTTGCTGGCCAGGAAAATAAATAAATAAATACGGCTAAATTTTTTAAAGAGATTGAATTCTAGACTTTTTTTTTCACCGTGCAACCCGCTTCAGTGCCTGAAGCCCATAGGGTAGAGCCAGGCAATGGTCCAAGATGACAGTTTGCTTTCACATGGGACACTGTGAGAGGCCCAGGGGATTGGACCTGCCACAAATCCAAACCCGTGCATAAATTCTAGACATTTTCAATAGCCAATCATATGATCCGACTTTGAACATGTGAGAGCATGATGGGAAAGTATATTGAGTAGATTAAACTGGAAGTATTATAGGTTTGACTGTATTTGGGGAAGGAGCCCCTTTACCATTGTTGGGTAAGCTTTGGGCTATTTAGCTCAAGGTTGGCAATTCAAACTCACCACCTGCTACAGGTTGAAGTTGTCTGCTCATGTGATGATTTACAGCTTCAGAAACCCTGTATAGGTCATTGTGAATCATATTTCACCCTACAATGAATCCATATAGTAAAGCTGGAAGTGGAAAGACGACTTGAGAGTATGAGTTAATGAGGCTCTAGGCTAGTTTGGTGGCAATGGACATGGAATGGATAGGAAGGCATGAAAATACAAGCATAAGCCATAAGTATATAGAATTAGTGAGTGTATATAAGCAACGTGAGAGAAATAAATTACAATTTTATTTGAAATTTTAAGCCTGTAGAATTTGAGCAGTGGTCATACTGTTCATCAAAATAGCTAACTTAGGGCTGTAAATGGGGAGTATAGGACATGAGAAGTTCTGCTTTTGATTTCTTGAGTTTGTGGTGATGACATGAATTCTAGGTAACCTAGTTGATAACCTCCCCTAATGAAGAAATCACTGAAGAAATGGGTGCTATGTAGCAAAGTTTGGTGAAGAAATCAGATACTGCCCTTCCATCAGAAAGAATAGTGTCTGGGGTCTTAAAGGCTTGTCTTAAAACAAGCAGCCATCTAAGTGAGATGTCAGCTAAGTCCACATGGAAGAAACACACAACCCTATGTTATTCAAGGATTGTAAATAATAAAATCTAAGATTAGAGGGGAGAACACTATTAGAGATTAAACTCTGAGCACCCAGTTTGTAGGAGGCTTTGAATGACAGTAAAAGCCCAAAATTCATTTGCAGTTTCCCCACATTCACTCTGGTGAATCCCCTCTGACTAGAGAACAGGGATGTGAATAGCCGTGCTATTTCAAGCCGTGCCTTGAAAATTGAATTATTGCAGATATATTTAAGTTAAAATTTAACAACTTAACATTTGCTCTCCTATTTGTCCTATTTTTAATTTGTTCTAGTTTTCAATATTTCCTACCCTTCAATTGAGGATTTTCTCTGTTTTATTTGGTCAAAATAAAGCAGAATTTTATTTGGTTTTGGAGGTTTTCTGTTTCAGTTTAGGGAGGTGGTTAAGTATGTTTGCAGTATGTTTTTCTTTAAATGAAATCCGGGATCAGGAAATCTATAAAGACAGTAACTGCATTAGTAGTTTCTTAGAGTTATAGCAGAGGAGATGGAGGAGAAATAGGGGCCTAATAACAGTAGGTAAAAGAAAGAAGAAAATGTTCTAAAATTTACTATGGTGATGATTGCACAACTATTTTTAATATGATTAGACTGTTGAATTGCATAACGTGGATTATATGTCAATAAAACAGTTTTTTTAAGTTCTAAGAATATCTGATACATGGTTGGAAGTAATGTTCCTGAATTTTAGTGATGCTAAATCTGAGTACTGTAATAGACAAGACTGTATGAATTTTTCAACTTAAAAAAAATTGTTCAATTTAAAGAAAACAAATCTAAAAGATAGCCAAGGACTGAAATTTCATTAGTTCCTTTACTTTAGGGAAAATGGAGAAAAAATGTCTAGAAATAAGAGCAGCAGGAATATAATTCTTTTCCTTAAAAGATACTAAAAGTCTTGAATGTTTAGATTTCTTTTTTAATAAACAAAACTGATCGAATTAAAAGACAATAGAATCAGTTACTATTTTTTCTGCTTCATATACAACTCTTTTATTCCAAGAGCCTCACTGTAAGTGTCCGCAATCTCACTCTATTCTTAAGATCAGTCAGTAGGATTCAGTCCTCCAGTTGCCAGCAGTCCTACAATATCTATGAAGCTTCAATATGAATTCTGAAGGGAGTGAAATATTTAGAAACAGGAGTTAAGAAATATTTCTTTTTTTAAATACTTTTATTGGGGGCTCTTACATCTCTTATCACAATCCATACATTCATCCAGTGTGTCAAGCA